AAAAGCCGGGGGGGGGAGTGCTTCTTTTCCCTGGTCCACAGCCAGAAAAACACTTGTGTGAGTACAGCAGCCATGGCAGCACAAAATGCTCATTGAGCTACGGCTTGCAATAAACTGTTACGACTTAGTGAGTGTCTTGTGGCCGAGTCCACAGGGCTCCCTCATGCTCAGCACCATATAAATGCACCAGGGAAAATATCTGTGAATCCCAAATGCTGCCCCTCTTGGCAGTTTTTGGTCTGCAGCCTCCAGCGCTTTCAAGGAGACCATGAAGAGCAACCGGCAACAAAACCCAACTGAGACTGTGGGCTGAAAATCGTGGAATGAGGACACCTCCCCAGGAAATGTTGCAGGGTCTGAAAAATCAAGAAAGGCTGAAAACCTCTGATCTTATCAGCAGATAATTTGGAAAAATTTGATCACCAGCACTTGCACTTCAGTCCAACAGATGACTAGATACAAGGGGGGGAGGAATATATATTATTTTCCTTAGGTAAGGGATAAAACTTAGTTTGAGCTGTATACATATATGCAGAGCACCCTGCCATTTAAGATCATGGGTTTAAATTTAGTTTTAGCTGTTCTTGGTCAGTTCCTTGCTGATATTCTTCAAGAATGAAGATAGAGCAAAGGTTCTGGACCACTGCTAAGAAAAAAAAAAAAGATAATTCTACCAAATTGTCCTAGAGGTTGAAGAATTCACTCCCAATTTTGTTGATGACTCTGGAGAAAGATACAATCTGCACATGAAGAATTCTTTTATACGTGGGCCATGGAGTTACTGCCTTGCCTCCTGTCAGCCCTAAGGAGAAAGGGAGACTTATATTGCAAATGCAGCCAAAACAAACCAAACCTGTGGTTCCAGCTTCACTGCAGCAATTCAGAGCCAATGAAAGGAATCTGGTCTCTATCCTACCGGGAAAGCCAATAGCGACCAGTATGAGCTATGATCCTCCAGCGTGATCCCTGTGGCTGGATCCCGGCGTTTGCAGGAAATGGAGGGAGGCTGAGGCAGGCGCAGGTGTTCGAGGCGCTGCGAGGCTGAGCGCCCGGCTCGGAAGCGCTTTCAGGTTTCGGCGTTGAGCCGCGCACACCTGAGCTCCGCGCAGCGAGGCTCAGCCTGTGCCTACATGTTCAGAGCAGCGAGGCCTTAGAGGCAAAGGCAACGTCTTCCCCCAGCACCTCGTGCCTCCCGCGGGGACGGCAGGGACCAGCCCAGCACCAAAGCAATAGAATTGCTGGTACAAACCAGTGGTGGAGAAGATCTTGTGCTCCTGCAGCACTTTCCCTTATCAGGTCTCGAGACGCTTTCAAAGGAGGCTGGTGGGGCTGGAGATGCCGCTCAGCCCCGATCCAAGGTGCCCTGGGCTCCTCTGCCCGGCCGAGCTCACGGCCACGGCTGCTCTTAATGAGCATCCCCAGCAACTTAGCAATAACAGAGCAATTTCAAGGCATTGCTCAAGCCCAACTGACTCTTCTTGCAGCAACGGACGGTCGCCCCAGACACTTACCTTGCAACCAGTCCCACCTTGGAGTGTCAGTCCCAGACTTGCCGGCCGCTCCGTGCGTCTCTCCAAGGCAAACATCTGCTGGAAGAGAGCAGGGCTTAGCGAGCACGATGGGAGAGCGCTGGGTTTCACTGCTCTCCCCGTGCCTTGGCAAAGGGGGAAAGCAACAGGTTTGTACTGAGAGCTTGCAATGCATCGAGGCAATGCTGAATACCATTTGCAGGGCAAACGCATTAAGAAAATTAAACATTTCTGAAGCCATCGCACCATCAAAGCTTTTTTCTCTCCACTTTTTAAATTAAGTGTTGGTTTGCATATCCGTGCCATGCTGGCTAGGTAATAACCTTTCTAAAGCTATTTTTGTTTCACATTTCCTACTGTTTGGTAAAGCAAGCTGGAGTTTTCTGAGGACACGTGT